GTGCCTTGCAGATGCTGGAATCAGACGGTCCCCACGGGGGCAGGGCGGGCGCGCGGCGGGGCGGGGCCTCGCGCCGCGCACGCGCAGCAGACGCGGCGCCGAAAATTTTCCATAACTGCAGTTCTCCCCCGCCTCCCCCCCCCTCCGCGCCATCCGGCCTGTGACGTCACGATCCCCTTTTCCCCCCTCCCCCGCCCGTGCGGTGGGGCCGAGTGATGGCGGGAGGGGCGGGAGGAGAGTGGCGGGAGGGACCGGGACGGGAGCGGGGATGGGAACGGGAGCAGGGGCACGGATGGGGACAGGGGCGTTGCGCCTGGCTCCGCCGGAGCGGGGAGCGTTGCGGGGCTAAGGGGTGACGTGGCACGTCCGGGAAGCGGCTCCGCGTGAGGCGCCCTTGGGGACTTCCCGCCCCGCCGTTTGGGGTCGCCAACGGCCGGGCCGCCCGTCGCCGTGTGGCGTCGGGATAACGGCCCGGGCGCCGGGATAACTGCCCGGGCGCCGGGGATGTGCCCGCTGGAAACGCTGCCCTGCAGCAGTGGCTGTAGGAGCGCCCATGGCAGTCCCTGTCATACGTACATATACATACATATGCATACATACATAATGTATATGAAGACAACTTGCCAAAATACAGTTAGGAAAAAAAAAGCCTTTTCGTTTCACCTAATGGCCCCGTTACTGGAAGTGTCCCTGAGCAGCACGTAGAGCAGCGGCCTGCGCTGCCCCAGAGCGCTCGCGCTCCTGAATCCTCAGCCGCAGAGCTCCAAAGATGGCTCAAATGGCCCCTTTTTTAAGCTGTTCTAAGTAATGCTTCGCTGATTGAGTTATGGCTTTCTTCACTTTGTTTGTAATTGCTAAGAATGTCCTTGGCAAAACATGCACGCAATTTGTATTTCATCCAATTTCAAAATGTGTTTTGGAATCACAATAATAAAAGTAATATTAATCAGTTCCTCCCACCATAATTTCAACAATTTATTTGTTTTCTTTTAGTCTCGCTTTTCATTCTACTTTTTTTTTCATTCTGTTATTTTTTCTTCCATTTATCTCATCATTTATCCCTTAGCCTCCCTCACCTTTACACCTCGATTTTTTTTTTATTCCTGACTGTCCCCCGTTCTCCTTTGCTTTTGTGTTTGTATCTGCTTACATCGAGCTTTCTTATAAATTTCAAGCTTGTAGTGTAGTTATAAAGTTTTAACAAAATTGTCTTTTTTTTTTTTTTTTTTTTGGAGAGTCCATTTCTACTTTATTTATCTCTCCCAAAAAATCCAGCATAATTCTGGAGACTGAAACCACTGAAGATTTTTTTTTTTAAATTACCCCAAACCCCACATTTCTACATTTTCTTGAATATATCTTTATAGCTGTCAGTGATTTCTCTATTGTTAGCATGCTAGTCAGATTTTCCTTGCTAAGGTACCTTACCACCATTGAATCTTTATGCTTTCAAAATGAAGCAAAACTCGTTGAAAATAAGACTTACTATTGTACAGTTGTTTTGAGCAAAGCTATGAATTAGTCTTCAGTTACAGCATTATGGAAATTGAGTTATCTTCAATTACATGAGTAGAAGTGAACCAGAGTAGAAGTGAACCAGAACCCTCACTCTAACAGGGCCTACCAATTCTCAGCTTCTGAGCAATTTCTTTTTAAATTGGGTTAGTTGTTTTTATTTTGGGGAAAAAAAGTACTTGGCAAGTGTGTGGGATTTTTCTTTGGTCACGTTTTAGCAAATAAATGGCCTCCTAAATATAATCTAGGAAGTTCTCATTTCATACTGTTTCTTCTTCCATACATAAACAAACCTAGTACTGTAAAACTATCTGTGCCACATGCACAGTGCAATAACTCCTGTTTATAGTTTGCAATGAAAAGTTATGTGTGCACTAACGCTCTAAACGTCAAGTCCATCCGCATGGTTTTGAGATGATGCTTCCTAAATTGCCCAAAGGACGTACAATGAAATATGTAGAGTGTCAAAACGATCTGTATTAATAGCTCCATAACCTTCATTTTGTCAGAGCCTGGAAAGAATAACACGAAAATCCTTAAATGGCAGCGTGGGTCTGGTGAAATCCCAGGTGCTGCCAAGAGGCTGAGGAGGGTTCGTGCTGCAGAGTGGAGTGACAGGGACTGGAGAGCCGGTGCCTTGAGCGAAGCGTCTGCCCAGCGATCCCCTTTGCACGGCAGACACGTCGTAGCAGAAGGAAACGCTGGAAACGGATGGGCACCAAAAACACCAGGATCCGCAGATTTGCTGTGAAGACCCTGTGGTTCACTGAGGTGCAGGTGGGGCTGAGGATTCCGCCTTTTTTTCCAAGCACTTTGGTTTATTCTTCTTGCCTCACGCTGCCTGCCTGTGGCGTGCAATTAATGAAATTGTAGCTTCTGATTCTATGCTTTCCCAAACAAAACTTCCATTGAAGCCAAGAGGAATTACGAGTGCGTAAGGAATGCAGGATTGCATATCCTGCCTCTTGGGCTATATGATGGTGAGTTGGAGTTACACATTAAACTTGGTTTAAGCCTTAATTTTTTCCCTCTGTGTTTATCCTAGTCTAGTTTCAGTTTTGCAATATGAAAACACAAAATCACTATGTTAAGAAAATAAGCAACAATATTCTTTTGAAAATATTACATTTACTGTAATTATAATTTGGATTTATACCAAAAGTAGGAATAGATTGAGTCTGATTTTTTAAGCCATATGATTATGGTATTATACTGCAATACATTCAAAACAGTGTTTCATGGGATATATACTACTACTCATCCATAAGAAATTGTCAGCCTTAAACGGACATTGCTAGCTGCTATAAAAATAATTTTTACTTTCAAGTTTTCAACTCAACAAGATTTTCTTGGTGGAGGGACGAAAAAAGCATTTTGCCATTAATCTTGATTCATCTTTTCCAGCCAGCAAACCCTGGCTGTGTTTTATTTCCTGTTTGGAATCTGAAATCTACATAAATTTTAAAGTGTGTATGTGTGTGAATATATATGTGCATTATATATATATATACACATATTTATACACCTATATACACACAGTCTATAAAAATTCTGGGAATAGTATTTGTT